TCAGGGAGGTAGGCTTACATTTCACTGTTATTGAGAACTATGACAACAATGTTTGGGACATTCATCAGAGGCTTCTGAATTTGGGTGATTGCTCTTGGCCGAATTATGAGATGGATCACTGCTACCCATTATTAATTAAAATTACAGCTGGGACCTAAGCTTTTGCATTGGTTACTTTTTTGGGCCGAATCTTAGTGGATCTCCTCTGTTGAATTATTGTGGAGTTACATTGAACAGAACTTAAATGAAGCTTGTCTTGGATGGATGTGCTTCCATCTTGTCAACTTTAACGCACATTGTGTTGGTGGTTTACTGAATGGTAAAACTGTGTAAACTATTTTTACTCAATGGAATACACAGCTTTCTTGAAGTTCACAGGTTTATTGCAACTCATATCCAACGAAGAGGTTACGCATGACTTACGGAATTGCATGGTATTGGTCCATAACATGCTTGTGGGTAGCCTCTTGAATTGCTATTAGATGATTATCACTGCCGATTTATTTTTTGTTGCAGCACTAGCTTGAAAATCAACACAAACTTCTCCGAGCCAGATCTATATGGAACAAAATGGATTTCAGGATATCATTTCATATTCTGTAATTCAGTTTGTATCAAGGGAATGGTAAATATCCAAGTAGAATAGCTTTTCTGATGCAAATTAGATGGGCATGCCATATTTATGAGGCTCAATTCCTTTGTTTTTTCAGCACCAAATTAGTTACAGTTGTTGGTATGGCAGAATGCAAGAAGTGTGGCTCTTCCAACAATGGAACTATACATATGGCGGCCAACCTAGCCACACGAATGATTGTGTGTGTGAATGGGCGTTTATTTTGGAATGATGGCTTTTTCCCTTTTTCTCACCGTTTGAATGTCAAAAGTCGAAATTGTTATACCATGATACAATAATGGGTACTGGTGTTTACCCATGACCAAACAGAAGAAATGCAAAGTTCGATGAATTTAGCAAGCTGTCTGTCACGACCACTCACCTCATACGCAAGGGAAGTGCACAGATTATCCACGAGGTTTGTTGATTCCCACTGGTTTGACCTGGATGGGGGTGCAGGGTCCCGGTCCTGTTCATTCTTTTTGAACTGTGCTTGAAAGTCTCAAGCATTATCGAAGGGGGATATATTCTTAATTGCTGCTGGTTTTGGTATCATTCAGAAAAAGTAGCGCAGGCTTGGGTATCATTCAAAAGTATAGTTCTGGTCGGATTAAAATGCGTCATACTCAATACTGGACAATGCATAGGGACAGAGAACAATAAGTGGCAGCGTTAATTGGGGCACTTGAAAAAGGAAGGATTACGAATTGAAGTTACGCTATGCAGGTGCATTTAGGACGCGAAGAGGAATCTATGCTATGCAACACACACTTGTTTGTTTACTATTTTTGACACGACATACTGGAGACAACGCTCTAACCTAAGACAAATTTTTTCTAGCCTATCTAGTCGAATTGTCAATATAGAAGTTCTTAATTCAAGTGGATTCTCATTAGCTTCCTCTAAATGATACTTGGATATTTCTGGCATTGTTTGGCTTTTTCGAAACTTATATATATGTTATATAGATATGGGGCAAAATTATTTTTATTTTTAATTAATTTATAAGGGTGATATTTAAATTTTAATTTTTGGGTCTTTTAAGATTTGTTGAATTTCTAGGGTTGTTTTAAATTTTTAGGATTTTTAGAGTTGTTTAAAAAAGTACTTAAAAGAGTGTTTGTGAAATATTTTATATTATAAGGGGTAAAATTATTAGAGAAATGACACTATAAGACACTCCCACACCTATGTGAGTAGGACCATAAAGGATCACTATTAAATTCGGTATAGATTTTTAGAAAAGTTATAACATAGATATGGGACTTGATTTTTTCAGATATGTGTTTCAAATTTGATGGTGATTATTTGGGGTCCTACCTTTAAAAAACTTGAAACCCCTAAAAATAAATCTTAGAATTTAAATTTAAATATACATCATTAGAAATTAAATAAATACTATAATTTTTCGGTAGAAAAGTACTTAAGAGTGCTTGTGGAATATTTTGTTTTATAAAGGATAAAATTATCATTAGAAATGCTTTGATTAAGTTAAAAAAGGGAAAATTAGATATATATCTGTTATAGTTTTCATTTTTCCTAATGGTTTCCGTTATTAGCATCGTGTCCATTTTTTTCATGTCAAAACGGAAATTTTAAAAAAAGATTAAGTTATCCGGTTGTTGAACAATTGAATTTAAAGTATTTTTTGTTGTTCAACAATTGAAAATACAGCAATTTCGATTATTGAAGAACCGAAAATTTAAGGTTGTTGAAGAATCGAAAAATGTTTTCTCTCTCTTCTCGCATATTTTCTCTACCTCTTTGAAGTCATAGTTATCTGATAAAATCAAATGGGAACAACTAGTTTGAGCCATTAAATTTAGGATAAATCTTAGAGATTATGAGATTAGAAGATTAGGAGAAATCTTGTAGGGTATTATCTCTTTACCTCTTTGAAGTCATGGCTA